GGGGTTTAGGGTTTATGGGCTCATGGGTCCTTGGGGTCTCTGGATCTAGCTTGGGAGGGGGGGGGGGGGGGGTGTTCAGGGTTTAGGCTTTCTTAGGGTTTAGGGTTTAAGGGGGGATTGCTATTCAAGCTTCGCTCTTTTCTTGCTGACGGGCTTCGGCCCTCAGCTTTGGGGCTCTGGGGTCTGATCTTGGTTTGGTCAGGGTTTGGGGTTTGGGTTTAGGGTTGAGCTCGAAGCCTTAGGGACTGTTCTTGCTTGGCGCTTTCCGACAAACCCCTAAGCCTGAACCCTAAACCCTAGACCCTAGAACCCTAAACTCTACTGTAAGCCCTAAACCCTAGACCCTAGAACCCTAAACTCTACTGTAAGCCCTAAACCCTAGACCCTAGAACCCTAGACTCCAACTGTAAGCCCTAAACCCATCGAGCCCCTAAGCCCTAGCCTGGCCACTCGATACTTGCTTCAAGGCTCGAGGCCTGATCGAGGTCTCAAGTCGTTGGGAGTTGACATTTAAGGGTTTTGGGTTGAGGGTTTAGGGTTTAGTTTTGGGTTTTGGGTTGGGAGGTGGGAGCATGCCCCAAATCATTCAGAGAGGCCAATAATTAGGTACCGCTGAATTCTAATTCTGCCCTGAACTGCACAGGGCTTCCATTACGATTTAAGACGTCTTCCTGAACTAGGGGGTGCTTGGCTCTCTGCATAGTTACTTTTTGACAGGTTGGAGCTTACATCGCGCTTCAGCCGGAGCTTTTGAGTTGATGTTCTCTGGATGAAGGCTTCAGCGTTTGCAAGGCTCGAGATTGGGAGATGTGTGGCCTTCAGCTATTTCGGGTTTGCGGATTTAGGGAGGCGCTTAAGTTTAGGGGCAGAGCCTCGGAACACCTAAAGCCCTCAATATCTAACATCTCCTTTCTAAAGCTCCTTGCGTCGCTGCTGCCAAGGCAGGCCCGAAAACGATGAGTTCGCCGGGAGCTTACCGAGGGGATGTTCGGAGATGGGCTGCCAGACTAGCTATTTGGATTTAAGGGTTTAGGGTTTAGGGTGTACGTTTTTTGGGTTTAGGGTTTAGGGTGTACGAGTTTTGGGTTTAGGGTTTTGGGTTTTGGGTTTGGGTTTAGGATCCCTATACTTACTGGCGGCTGCAGCTTGTTTCTCCCAGTACTGATGTATTGGAGCTCGGGTCGCTCAAACCGCAAGCCACAAGCATGTTTTCTACGTATCCGAGGCTGGGGCAAGGCCCGCATATCTAACGGGCTTCCTGCAGTCCTTGAGGTTCGCACGGTGGCCCGCGCGGTGCTTTGCTTTGGAGCCAACGCCGGGCCCTCACCGGAAGGCTGTAAGCGAAAGCCCGAAAACCGAATCCCTGACGCCCAAAAAATAATTGGGGTTTAGGGTTTAGGATTGTCAAGCCTGAGTTGAACGCAATCAGCCTTTGGGCTTGTAATCTACAGACAGCACTTGCGTGGCTTTGCTTGATCTGTGTTGAACCCCACTGTATCAGGCTCTAGCGGCTTCAGCAACATTTTGTGATTATGCTTGTGTGATGCTGATTGATCAATCACTGAAATCGACACGGACAGTCAATGGCAATCTTAACTTGAAGCAGTGCGCTTGTGGCTCAGATCACCAAACACCAAACCCCTTGCCACGCCCTGTCGACTCCCGACCATGTGGCATGCGGGAATTCTTGGGAGCCTTGTTGTGGTCCTCATCTCACTGAAAGGATGTGGGGATGTCTCCTACGAGAGTGAAGCCGATGCTTTGAGCAAGATTTGTGGTGGCTCCTCATGTCCAGACTCCTGCAGGTGCTGTGTGCAGTCCAACTGGGCAGATGCCGAGGCGTGTGTCAGTGGAATGGCTCAAGGTACTCGACCCGATGCTTGCCGTTCCTGCATCAGTTCCGCCACCGAGGGTTGGGAACCCGAGGATTGCAAAACGGAGCGAAACATGGGCTACTGTGGCTATCAGTACTGGGACAACTCGAGAGCTGAATGTGAAAAGTACAATGAGACATGTGGCTCTGGTTTTCTGAGCGAGGACTAGTGGAACTGAACCCAAAGGGTTGCGTTCTCTTGTCACGATGGAGCCATCGTGACACAACTCTCTCTCTCTCTCTCTCTCTAAGTGGTTCATCTTCTGGGGAGGGGGCTTCGCCAGACGAAACGACGAATGCCAAGCAGAATCAAGCAGATCTAGTTCTTGATGTTCTTGAAGCATTTCACAATTTCACCTGACTTTACCTACAGCAGGCAACAGAGAGCGCAGCCCTGCCAGGACTGGCCAATAATACCTAACCAAGCATCCCGATATTCGCTGGAGCAGCTGCAATGAAGGGTCGATGCCCGAATGCTGAAGCTGAGTTGGGGATGAGCCCGAAGGGACGTTTCTTAAGGAATGCCTGTTTGTATGGAACGCCCTCTTGCCAAGAGTCGACAAAGATCGGCGATTCTTGAAAGCAGGTCGTCCTTCGCAGAGTCCCAGATGATGAAGTGCCGCAAAAGCTGCGCTGCAAAAAGGCTGCCTGCAGCTTGAGAACAAGCGCTGCAACATAGTAGCAGTGGTCTCACTCGCGAAAGCCAGTCATCTCCTGTTCTTCCAATTTTCTCTTCTCATGCAATGAAGGTATAGCCCCTGTATCATCCTTCTATAGCCAGAACGCGAAATAGCCTCAAACAATAAAGCAAAACCAAAGTTTCATCCTTAAACCCGAAGCCCTAAACCCTAAAACCCAAAACCCTAAAACCCTAACCCTGAAAAATCCTAAACCCCTACACCCTAAATCCTAAACAAACCCTGATCCTCTCTCCAGCAGCCTGGTTCTTAAAGGTGTTTCTGTGCTCCAGCCTATAATCATCCTAGCTTTCGACACCTTATCCACGTACTGATGGAAAACTAAAACAAAAAGCCTAAACCCTAAACCCTAAACCAAAAAGCCTAGAACGCGCTGTTGAGTTGCACTGGACGAAGACTTTCGGAAACCCCGGAGAGAACCCCACAGCCGTGAATTAATTAGGGTTGAGGGTTTAATTAGGGTTTAGGATTTAGGGTTTAATTAGGGTTTAGGGTTGAATTAGGGTTTAGGGTTAAGGGTTCAGCTGGGGTTTAGGGTTTAATTATGGCTTAGGGTTTTAACTTCGATTTGGCTGCCAAGATAAAGTTGCAGGCAGTAGTTTACGAGTTCGCTCTTCCTGAACTCAGGGCGTGGATTTACCGGGTCGCTTTGGCTCTAGGGTTCTATGGGGACACCGGAAAGGCAAGATAGAAGCTTGAAAGATCGGTAACATTATCCCTCAGGTCTAATAGACCCCTTTGTAATTCTAGTAATGTATGATAACAAACCCCTTGTAATTACAGCAAGACGGTAAAATTATCCCCCTAATTATTAATTAAGCCCTAAACCCCCAACCGTGTTCCCCCCTGTGTTAATACAAAGCCGAGGTCACTTCCTGCCTGCTCCGAAGACCCGCCTTCGCCTTGCGCGACACAGACATCGCGCTGCTTGCTTTTGCTTTGGAGTTCCGGGTGTAGGGTTTAGGGTTTATAGGGCTTGGAGTTTAGGGTTAGGGTTGCTACGGGGTTCAACATAGAGGTCTAAGTTTGAAGCATATTCCCGCGAGTCCCACAACATCTTTACAACTTTCCTTGGGTGCCCTAACACCTTTATATTATGCAGCACCCCAAAACCTTAGACTAGTCATTAAGATCCCTTTTTAGGCTGCTGCGTTCGAAGCTTTATCCTGCTCAGGATGTTGCGTACTATCGTCTCTGACAGTGCTGAAGATCGTAGCGTTTATCGTTTGGGGCGTTTGACTTCGGGTTTTGAGAAACTGGTTTTAGGCTGTATTTTGACAGTGGGTTTAGAGATTAAGGTCAGAAGGGTGTGGCACTCATACCACCAGAATCGACATTACAGCAACAAAGCAGGGCGTCAGAGGCAATGCCTGATGTGTCAGCGGCATGTCACTTAAATTGAGGCAGGCCTGCACATAGACCCTAGGCAGCAAAGTTGTTTTCTTAAAATGTTTTATTCCATTTGTATGTATACTCGGTATCTTCAGATACAACCAAAAACTTTAGTGAAACCTCAACCCTAAACCCTAAACCAGGATGCCAGGGCTTGGGCAGTTGCCGAAATTCGGTCGCGCGGTAGGGGTCCCCGAAAGAGGATGTATCTCTTACCGTAGTGACTCACTTTGAGAAAGCGATCCCAATTCAACCGAATGCCCCTTAAGGGCTCCACCCTCAATCTGAACACCCTTAGACTTTTCGTTCAGAAGCCGTTAGTAATAAAAGTAGTATTAGTAATAATCGTAATAGGAGTAATAATAGTAATAATGGTAACAATAGTAATAATAGCAACAATAGTAATAGTAATAAATAGTAAGTGCGACGGTAATGGTTTCGGCATTGGAGTTGAGCACCTTGCAGCCTCCGAAGCCCCAGGTGAAGCGAAACCTGGAAGGCTGAGAGCCTAAAGTTTATGAATCAGGGTTTAGGGTATAGGGTTTAGGGTTTGGGGTACGGTTTAGGGTTTAGGGTATAGGGTTTAGGGTTTGTTCAACATCCTCAACCCCAGCCGTGAAAGTATCAAGTCCCAACACCTGAGACGTTCACATCCTCTGCCACAGGCCCGAATACCTGCGGCACCTTACAGCACCTTGGACGGAGAGTGCCAACATCCTGGCATGGAGACTTGGCGTTTCTCGGGTTGGGGTGTTACTAGGTCACCCTAAACACCCCTGTTATAGAACCCATGTAGATGCCTTAAACGGACCCTTTAAGGGAACCAACTACCGCTGCTGCTACTGCTTCTCTGGGTGCGCTTCGGCTGCTGCTCCTCTTCGTGTCGTTGCGGCTGTGAGACGGGAGATTTCGGACAGTGGCTTCCCAGAGACTCCAAAAACCCCTTAACTAAGGAATATACCTTAAATTATAATGGGAGCCCTAATAAGATTTAAGGCATATTCCTTAACTAAGGGGTTTTGGGGTCTCTGGGTTCAGCATCGGCTGTGTGGGCGTAGGATCGGAGGGGGGGTGCTGAAGAACGGTACACTCATCTGACGGAAGGATGCGGCTCTGCCTCGGTGTTTGCTAGGCCCTCCTTTGTGCAGCACAGGCTTCTTCACACCATGCCTTAAAAGGTGCCTGAACCTCTAATCTTTGAAGACAGATCTCATTACTGTACGAAGATCCCTTGACCCTCAAACCCCTAAGCTCCAAACCATACCAAACCCTGTAGTAGATGAACAGAAAGCTGCGCAGACCAAACCTGTTAAAGAGTTCCATATACATCCACGATACAACCTTGCTAGAACCCTTGTAGTTCGAAATCTTCGCGAACCCTTAACCCAGAGAACCCAATACCCCGTAATGAAGGAATATACTTTAAATCATAATATTAAGGCCCCTATAATTTAAGGCATATTCCCTTATCTAAGGGGTATTGAGTTTTCTGGGAAGAACACCCTAAACCCTAAACCCCTAAACCCTAAACCCTTAAGAACAACCTTAGCCTGGCCGCCCGAGGATGCCCATCCTCGACGCGGAGACCCTGCCCCTGAACCCGGTGGATGCGATGCAGCGGGGGAAGTACAACAAGGCCATCCGGTTTAGGGTTTTCGGGTTTTTAGGGTTTAGGGGATTGGGGTTTAGGGTTTTCGGGTTTAGGGTTTAGGGTTTAGGGCCATCTTCTTCTTCCAGCTCCCAACTCGAAGCGTGCAATAAACATGGGCCCTAAACCCTAAACCCCTAAATCCCTAAACCCCTAAGCCCTAAACCTGGACATTACACTCGAATGGTCCGAAGGTGCCCACGATTCTGAGCTCGGTGACCAACGAGACCTTGGCCTTCGTTCCCACGGAGCTGATGAGGTATTCGGGGGTTTAGAGCTTCGGGTTTAGGGTTTAGGGCTTAGGGTTTAGGGTTTAGGTCTTAGGGCTTAGGGTTCAGGGTTAGGGTATTGATAGGGTTTCCGGATTTGCATGCAGAGTTGCAGGATTTGTGTGCTAGAGTACGTATGAAGTCTTGAAGTCTTGTTCCAACATTTCTGTGGATCGGGCGGTGAATTGCAGGCTACTTCTAGAATGTGTTCCATGCATCTTGTGACAACAATAGAGCAAACCTGAGCAAGGCTTGGCCTTGCAAAATGGTGACTAGCGACTTCAGTACACAGCTCGCTTGGGCGACCATGCAACCATGAGGCACTGCAAGCTTGGACGCTATTCCCTAAACTCTAAACCCAAAGACATCCTGGGAGGCTTGGCAACAATTGGCCATCCTACCATGAGACGCTGCGGATCGTCTTCCGCGAGCGTGCGGACAAGGTGATGGGCAACATAGCTAGTGAACATGCAACCTCAAATGTGCATGAAGTTTTGTACCCATTTTCAGTTGTATGTCATCCCTAACCCTAAACCCTAAACCGTGACAGCTTCGTGTCAGGGCCTTTCGAAAGAATTCAAACTGAGATGCAGAGGAGAGTACCTCGCCTCCAGGCCCTTACAACCGAAGAAGCAAGGGGTTTTAGGGTTCAGGGTTTAGGGGTTGGGGGGTTTGGGGGTTTAGGGTTTAGGGTTGGGTTTTCTGCAATGAAAATCCTTCCTAGTAACTAATAGCTGTAGTAACTCATAATTGTAACGAGGCATTAAGAGAATATGCGAACCTCTCACACACACACACACACGCACTGCTGAACTCTTCATGTTCTTGATGCTCACCTTCTGTTGCGAAGACCAGGTCCCTGAACATCAATGCTTTGGAGCTCCTCAACCAAACCCCAAACCCCCAAAACCCTAACATCCTTTACGGTAAACCGTCAAGGTGGCGGCGCACTATGCTGCTTCACTAGACAGCTCAGCCCTGCCCCCGGCGCGCCGTGCTGCAGTGGTGACCACTGCACCTGGGGAAAAATGGAAGGCAGGTCAGTGTAGGGCTTTCGGGCTTCAGGTAATAGTAGGGTCGCAGATGCGGAGGCTACAGACTGCACAAGTTTTTTCAGGGCGTCGTGTTTGGTTGAGAGGGGTTTGTAAGATCTAAGGCTTCGT